TTTAAGGGNAGTACCTACTATGTGCCAGAACCTGTGTTGTTTTTTTTTTTTTTTTTTTTTTTCTGTACAGGAGTGCACAGTTGATTGAGACACACACATCCGTATAACCATAGAGTGCACATGGTGCCATTTAGAAAATCAAAGAGTGTCAGGGGAGAGGCAGTGACAGGGAGTGAAGAGAGGGCAGATTGGAGAAGTTAGTTGAGAGTGGTAAGCTAGGACCTCTCAGAAGAGGTATCTTTTGGACTCAAGTCTACAGCCTTTCCCGGATGATGATTCCACTAATCTGGATCACTTCAACTTCTCCCAGATCCAAAACAAAAGGACCACTTTATGAAAGCTATGGGAACTCAGTTCTTACCACTCCACTAGGGCAGGGAGAGCAGCTGTTACTCTCAGGCAGCATTTGCCCTCTGCTTAACACACGGAGGTCAAGGGGCAGAAAAAGGCTCTGATGCCCAATGACCTATAGACATCCACTTGAGGTGTATAAGCTAACATCAAGGCTTATATCCTGTTTCCATGAAACAGGAGTGCCTTTCTTATCCTAAAACAGGGTTTTGGCAACACTGCTATTACATAGATGGAACCATCAGCTTCCTTTGTGCCAGCCTCATTTCATGTCCTTTTGGCTGTACATAGGGACGTATGTGAGCCCAGATATCTGATGATTGGCTAGTTTTGTGTCTGTGCCTGAGTTCATGTCAATTCTTCATTTTCCTAACAGCAGGAAAATAGTTTTCAAAGTTCTTTTCTAATCTTTTCTTATATAACATATTTTATTAGCCAGAAAAAAAAGGGTGCTGCCTGTTTTGTCATGAGGGTTCAAAACTTATAACCTGGCATTATGCCACCTGGGGGGAATCCTACTCCTGGTTTTGTGAGTTTGAGCAAGTTACTTAAATACTCAGNCAAATCTTATAACCTGGCATTATGCCACTGGGGGGGAATCCTACTCCTGGTTTTGTGAGTTTGAGCAAGTTACTTAAATACTCAGTCTTGATTTCCTTGTCATATGTATATGTCATTCGTAACACAAGATTAACTATACATTTACCACTTAAAGTTATTAAGATTTAAATAGGATCATGCTATTCAACAAAACAAACAAAAGCTGCCCTACAGCCTAGAACTTAATAAATGATGAATGAATATTAGCTTACATAACAGTGATGCCAATATGACATTGATGAATTTACATCTATTCATTTAGCACATATTTACTGAATAGCAATCATAAGCCAGGTTGGTATTCAGTAAATATATATAAAAAATATAACCCAGGTTTATGACCTTGGAATACATTAGTGAAAACAAATATAAAAAAATACTGGCTTTATGGAGTTTAAATTATGGTGCATTAAGCCATTCTTGAACACTTGGTTTGGCTTAGAATTCTGAAAGAATAGTACTTAGTAAATAATCGTTATTAAATCCAATAGCAACTTAAAAATTAATGAATAGGTGCCTGGCCAGTGTGGCTTAGTTGGCTGAGCATCGTCCCATGCACCAATTCCTGTATTTAAAAAGTTATTAATGAATAGGCTAAAGTCTGATACTGGGCAAAACAATCCAACTTTTATGTTTTAAATATTTATGGAAGGTGGATTTCTAAATCATCTTTTTATCTAGCAGTCAGCTCTTATGATCTAGGGTGAAACTAACCAGATTTTCCAATTTAACAATAAAGCCATATGTCTGACAAGGAAAGTTTGCTTATGAAATGGAGTATTTGAATTGGGGATTGTCTCAGAAAGTCTCACACATATGGTGCCCATATCTATGAAATCACCCAGGGGAAATTATAAAGAAACACATCCTGTATGTCACTCCCTGAGATCAACCTATTCCCTCAGTCAAGCTGCCTCTGAAATGTGCCTGTTGCCCTTTGGCCTGGACTGAGATGCTGCGTGTGTCACTCAAGGCAACAATGAGGCACCTCGCGGAAACAGAAAGGTTCAGTTCTAGCCACATTGCTGCAAGTCACCCGCAACTTTTCCCAGGCTTCAAAAGGACATTCTGTGGACTCCTGTAATGTCAGACGGTGTTCCCACTTCAGCTGTGGCCAGCAGATGCTTTGCCAACACTCTCCCCATCCACGTGTGCTGATAAAAGCAAGGAAAATGTGAATAATGGAAAAAGAATAGCAGGCAGTTCTTTTGCTGGCTATGGTGATTTTAAACACAAGTGAAACACACTTCAGCTTCTCCCTGGCAGAGGGCTTTAGTCCCCTTGAAATGTTTCACTCTTGTGCGAATGACTCACGTCTTGGAAACGGACAGGTTCCAAGTCTGGTGCTCCCAGCACCTTTCCACATTGGCTAATGCACCCTTTGGGAGTTTTAAGCATCCCAACAGCTGTTTTAATTAGCAAGGGATGCTGTGCTCTCTTGCCTTTCCCTGAAAACTGGGCAGTTCACCATTCCCCAGCAGCTTGAACTCTCCATTTGTGTTGTGATTACCTCTATCAGGCTCACATGTTACACATTATGGTGTCCATAGAAGTGCTAGAAGTAGAACACACATTCGTTCGTTTATTTTAGCTTCCTTGTTAGCCGAGTACTTTAAAATGCATTGCATTTTTAAAAACCACTCATACAAACACTTTGATTTTGCTCCTCAGTGCAGCCTGGTGCAGGGTCATGGACAAGTACAAGTACCATCACCTGTATTTAACAAAGGAAAGTAATGGCCACAGGCTCGAATCCTGGTATCCAGGCAGCATTGCATGGCCTTGGTTATATTCTCAGGGTGAGCTAAACCCCAAATTCAAAGTGGGTAAACAAACAAAAACTCAAATTATTTCTTGATATCATAAGGCTCCAAGGCAGTTATTCCTGATTGGGGTCTGGCTTCTTCCATTTGGCAGTTCAAGGACCATGTTCTCTCTCTCTTTGGGCTGTGCAGTTCCCTAGGACCTTGCTGGTATGAGTATCAGCCGGTGGAAGGAAAAGAGATTATAGGATGCCCACTGTCTCTTAAAAGTCCCTAGTGGAAGTGACCCATCTCCAATTTCCAAAGGCTGGAACACCATGGCCGCATCAAGCAGTCTGTGCTCCAAAGGAGGAAACACAATTGGTGAGCAGCCACACTGAAGTTTTCCAAAAGTATAAGGCAGGTCCACTCAGGACCACGTCGGGGTATGACCACAGGGACTAGAATGTGAATGGTGCCTCTTGGAGCTGAGAGCAATGTGGTGGCCACACAACTAGGGACAACCAAGATAATAATACAAGATAATTGAATGTTATGTGGACATGCAATTTTAAGTCTTAATGTGGAATTGGAAAGTATAGATAGCATATCCAACAAGAGGCTTTGCAGAGGTAATTGCTTAGCCTAAGTTTCCATTTATAATAAATTTACTTAGCTTTCAAAGACTAGTTGAATTAAAGAAAAAGATTAAGCAGTAATTATATGTAAACAAAACAAAAACCTTGAAGTTGGTGTGAATGACTGAAGATGGAGACAGTACATTTATGTCAGTTCCTCATTATAGTTCATTCTTGGAAGAGTTTCTGAGTTACATCCTTCTGTGATAAACTGGTAATGTGGTGAGTAAATGGGTTCCCTCAGCTCTGTGAGCTGCTCTAGCAAATTAATCAAACTCAAGGAGGGGGTCTTGGGAACCTCTGATTAATAGAAGTACAGGTTACTACCTGAGCTTGGGACTGGGATCTGAAGGTTGAGGGATGGAGGGCAGTTGTGTGGGACTGAACCTTTAACCTGTGGTCAGAATTGAGTTAAATTATAGGACACCCAGCTGGTGGTGACCAGAGTATTGTTCATTGGGTATGTGGGCAACCTCCTCCCCCACACACATTGGAATTGGTTCCAGAAACTCAACAAGAGAAAAGAAATGAAAAGGTCTATGAAGCACGTCTTCTGTGCTCAGGCTTGAAGATGCTGTGGGAAACACAGAAAATGGCCCACCTATACTCTAATTGTTCCAGCCTTAACCAGGAGGTACACAAACTCTAGGGAGGAGTACAAAATTGGCTATTAAAAGATGAAATGTGTTTCAGGTCTATTGTGTTATAGCTTTTAAGGGGATCTGGAACTTAACTGTTGAAATTAAGCGTGATGCTATTTCTTTAATTTATGATTTATTTCTACAAATATTTATTGTGTGCTTACTGTGTTCCAGTCAGGTTCCTGATCCCCATCTGGTGTTAGTGATGACAGGTGGAGGAGATAGCCATCTGAACAAAGGAATGCGATGCAGAATTACAAGGGCTTTGATAGGTATCTGCAAGACACCTAGGCGTGAAGCTTTTTTTTTTCTTCTTGACCACAAAGCATTTTTAATGTCAATAGAGAGTTTGGAAAGAATTGAATCCAAACCCCCTCACTTAACAGATTTAAAAACCACTGGGTCCCAGAGAGGTAAAGTGACTCTCTAAAGGTTATACAGCTAGTTGATGGAAGAGCCAATACTAGAATCCAGGGAGATATCCTGCTCACCAACCTCAGCTGGCTGCATGGAGAGGGTGTGAGCTGAGGGATTTGTACTCGAGATGAGATGAAATAACACATGAGCAATTTAGCAAAACCTCTTTTGGATTTTTCACTGGACAGTATTGGGGATAAGATGAGAACATGGTGTAGGAAGAAAGATGACCTCGCTCGCTAGGAAATTTAGGTTCCACACCTAGCTCTGATGACATACATAGAGTGCAACCTTAGACAAATGATCTAACTAACACACTAAAAATAATGCTTCCATGTATTTGTTTCACACATGTTTTTCAATATTGTGATGTGCCTTCATGTCACCTGATTCTTGAAACAGCCCTCTAAGGCATCATAGAAGGACATCCTCATATTCCCACTCTGCAGATGGGCAAACTGAGATGCAGAAAGTCACATAGCTAGTTAGTGAGAAACTCCAGGTTAGAACTCCTGAATGCTCCTAGTCCAATGCTCAACCAATGATAACTGTGTATACAACAGGTTTGGAACCAGAGTCATTAACCAAGAGTATCTTTGATTATATTACAGATGCATTGTGAGAGGTTTCTATGTATCCTGAGAATAATTGGAACCACACTTTTTGGAGTCTCTCTCCTCCTTGGAATCACAGCTGCTTATATTGTTGGCTACCAGTTTATCCAAACAGATAATTACTATTTCTCTTTTGGACTGTATGGTGCCTTTTTAGCATCACACCTCATCATCCAAAGCCTGTTTGCCTTTTTGGAGCACCGAAAAATGAAAAAATCCCTAGAAACCCCCATTAAATTGAACAAAACTGTTGCTCTTTGCATCGCTGCGTATCAAGAAGATCCAGACTACTTACGGAAATGTTTGCAATCTGTGAAAAGGCTCACCTACCCTGGGATTAAAGTCGTCATGGTCATAGATGGGAACTCGGAAGATGACCTTTACATGATGGACATCTTCAGTGAAGTCATGGGCAGGGACAAATCAGCCACTTATATTTGGAAGAACAACTTTCACGAGAAGGGTCCCGGTGAGACAGAGGAGTCACATAAAGAAAGCTCCCAGCATGTCACCCAGTTGGTTTTGTCCAACAAAAGTATTTGCATCATGCAAAAATGGGGTGGAAAAAGAGAAGTCATGTACACGGCCTTCAGAGCACTGGGACGAAGCGTGGATTATGTGCAGGTAGGTTTCCGAATTCCTGCCAGGGCAAACATACATTCAAATAAAGCAGCTTTTGTATCTCTCCAGTCATATGCTTATAGCCCATCCTTGTCACTTCTGAACACAGTGCCCCTTTCAGTTCATTTGAAAACAGCAAGACTGTTGAAAGCACATTTTGAAAGAGAGAGGGGGGAGGAAAGCCTTGTAAAACTGTTAAGACTATCTATGAAAATGCTTAGCTTGTGCAATGCTGTTGGTTGGAAATCAAGATTAGTTTGAACAGGAGACCCTTCCTTCTTTTCTCTCCCCTTCCCTTCTCTGACCCCCTTGGTTCTGCCAAGTCAAATCCAACGTCATTTTCCACACTCTTAAAATCTCCAGCCTTGTAAGAAAATAGTGTCTGCAGAGCAGAGGGTCTTGAGGAAAAAAAAAAGTCTGCAGGCCCAAAGGAAGGCTATAAAATGGTGTTCACAGAGACCCGGCAAAATGGGGGTGATGAGAACAATTTTGATTGAAAAGAGACAGAAAGAAAAGAAATATGAAAAAGGGAGAAAAAATAAAAACCTTCCCTGAGAAAAACCGAAGTAATGTTTATTTCACTCCCCAAACAGCATTACCTCACTCACTGCAACTTGACCTTTGAAAGCATTTGTGATGGTGTTTGCTCGCATGAAAATTAGACGGGCTGTGTCTCGTTAATTTCCTGACTGCTCACTTGGGGGGTTTCTCCTCTCCTAGTTCTTACCGAAGTTTTTTTCTTTAGAATCTTCAGAGAGTCCCTGTGAATGTTTTAGGTGTAATTTCTGTGGATGCTCTAGATTTGGGCTATGGTGAGAAGGGAGACATGTCTAGAGTTTAAGAAATCTACTGGGACTGTCTTCCTTTTTTCTTAAAAGTACAACCCTAGGTTTCAGAAGATCTATCATATACCTTGTGGCCTTTATATGTGTAATAGGATAGGAAAGGACACTGGCTTTAAATTAGTTTTGTTTTTTTTTTCTTAATGGGAGAGAGAGTGAAAAAGAGAAACATCGATTTGTTCCACTTATTTATGCATTCATTGGTTGATTCNATAGGATAGGAAAGGACACTGGCTTTAAATTAGTTTTGTTTTTTTTTTCTTAATGGGAGAGAGTGAAAAAGAGAAACATCGATTTGTTCCACTTATTTATGCATTCATTGGTTGATTCTTGTATGTTCCTTGACCTGGGATAGAACCCACAACCTTAGTGTATTGGAACAATGCTCTGATCAACTGAGCTACCTGGCCAGGGCTTAGGGCACTGGATTTAGTCAGCTGACTAAGATTTGAATCTACATATTGAGCAGGGCCGTTTCCCTGAGCCTCAGTTTTCTGGGTAGAATACACCAGTCTCACAAGGGGCACAGGAGTTTGAGGCAATGATTTCAAAAAATACAACTAAAGTGTACAAAAGTTACAAAGGTAGCAAAAGTTGTTAATGATGGGTTGTTAATATTATTACAAGTTTTCTGTTAATATTATATAATCATGTAGTTCTTGCTTAAAAATTATAGTACGTGACAATTGCTACGAGTGTTAATTTTGGTTAATATCTGAAGAGCTTGGGGGTGTTTCTTTAGTTTATACCAATCTGCATATTGATCTCTCTTTTTAGGGAGTTTAGATAGAGTTTCACCCTCAAGTTTCTCCTAATTTCTAGAACTTTCACAATTAAGGTCGTTTCAGCTAACTAAGGATATTTTATACCTACTGACATACTGCAACTTCAGGCCCAGATGAGGGATGAAATGACCCATTTAAAGGAAGGGATGACTGGGGAACTTGCATAGCATTTGAAAAATGATGCTTTCTGCCTAAAATGAGAAAACATCTGTTGATATTTTGCTTTTAATTGTAGTTAAAACAATCACTATACTTGTCATTCCTAATCAAGACATGATTGTGTGAATTTTCTTCCTTTTTATAAACCTGCTCCTCCCAAACCCCCTTTTCCCATCATTCTTGTTTTGAATTTGTTTGTATCCTTGACAACCTGGCATTGTGTCTGTCCAGGAAAAAATAATACACAATGTAAAATGTTGGAGTAGGCTTGCTGCTAGGGCCCTAATCAGCCCAGAGAACTTGCCTTAACTTCAGGCTGAAGCTTCTGGAGAGACTGACCAAGCAGCAGCTGGTACCTGGGCCCTGAATCCTCCTGGGATTCTTGGTCCATTCCAAGTGCTCAAATAGGAAGGAGTGGGGGGCACCTTGTGGCATTCTGAAGCCAGGGAATTCCATCCTGCCATCCCTCATCAAATTCCCCAATAGATAACCACTTATGCCCTCTAACAATGGGAATGTCACAGGGTTCAAACTAATACTATCAGTCTAACATTCCGACTGACCCAGGGTCTGAGCGTTGCAGAAGAGAAGCCACAGAAAGGCAAAAGGAGCAGGATGGTGGCTACTAAGCATTACAAGTGATTAACACCCAAACTTGGAGTTCAGGTTGATGAGGGAAGGAAGGAAGCAAGCAAAGTTCAGGTGCTAATACACCAGAGAAAATGGGGCTTGGGGAAGGAGTTGACCATCTGTTCACATACTTGCTAACCCGGCTGGAGAACACTGCTTCACTGTGCAGAGAAATGGCCAGAATGGTTGGTTTCCAGCTGCAGCTGGGTCTTTGGCACTGGTCAGCTCTCTTCACTTGATCTTGAATGGATAGATGTCTTTCTTATTGCTCTCATGACGTGTTACTGCATACCTTCACCACTCTCCCAGCTCCCTACCCAAACTCCTCCCTGCTTAACTACTAACAGATGACATTGCCTCCTACAAAAGAGAAAAGCAAAAGTACTGGTTCTGAAGGCCATCAAGATGGTTTTTAAAAAAATATGTTTTAATTGATTTTAGAGAGAGGGGAAGGGACAGGGATAGAGATACACCCCACAACCCCGGCACGGGGACACCGGCCCAGCAGCTATCATAATCTTTTTTACTCTCTCCTACTTACAGGTTCAAGGATACCTGGCCTCACTTCTATCTCCAGATTAACCTTTTTACCTATACTCCTGGGATCTCTGGGTCAGCTCCCTCTGGTCTCCTCCAGGACAGGCTTTATTTACATCAATTACCACCTTTCCATCTCTCTCAGCGTTTATCTCTGTGCCTCTCTGACTACCGTCTCAGCCCTAAAGCCATTCAAAGAATTAACTCTTACGTGGAGTATAGAGGAAAGCTTCAGTCTAGTAGAAAGCCAGTGTGGCAGCAAATTCATCTGAGATGCCAGCGGCTGCTTTCAGAGCTGGAGAGAAACAGAGTAAGGCAAATGATAAAGTGAGAAAAGAAGATGAAGGAAATGAGAAAGGCAATGAGGAAGATTTTCTTCACTTTTTAATCTAAGTATTTTCTGGGGAAACTTTTTTTTTCCAGTGTAGGATATATTCTGACCTGTCTGGATATGGCTTAAGGTAGAGCAAAAGTCTTTGACTTTTCAAAATAGTATTTATATTAGCTTTTCATTTACCAAAGTAGCACGTTTATGGTAGTGTATTTAAAAAATATAGAAGAGCAAAAATTAAATCATCAGTAACAAATACATGACTCATAGATGATCAAATTTAGTATTTTCCAGTGTATACCTTTCTATTTTTCCCTTATTTTAAGAACAATTTTGGGATTATATTATATTTACTTTTTTGGCTTTTTATACTTAATATCAGAAGACTTTAAGTATCCTCTGATATCTAGATTATATAATTGCTTTACTCATTCACCAAACATGGATAAGTGGCCAACATAAGTGGCCCCCCACCTATGCAACAAAGGAAAAATCAATATTCCCTGATGTGTGCATTAGGGATTTAGCAGGTAGAAAATGTACAATAAGTATGGACATTTTCTAAAGGGGAAAATATAGGAGGCAATTTTATTATTATTATTTTAAAATATGTTTATTGATTTGAGAGAGAGAGAAAGGAAGAGGGAGAGATAGAAACACCCATGAGAGAGAACATTGATCGGCTGCCTCCTGCATGCCTCCTACTGGGGACTGGGCCTGAAACCCGGGCATGTGCCCTCACAGGGAATCGAACTGGCATCCTTTTGATGCCTGGGTTGACACTCAACCACTGATCCATACCAGCCGGACAGCAATTTTGTTACTAATTTAATTTGGCAGCATTGTAAGTATCCAAGATCCTTTGAGCAGGAGAAAAGACTAAATCATTCATAAGAGCTGATCTTCATTATTCATGGTTTCTGTATTTGTAAATTATGCTACTCACTGAAACCTATTTGCCATCCCCAAATTAATGTTTGCAAGTACTTTTGAGATCATTTGCAGGCATGCAGAGTGGCAAAAAGTTTGATTCACTCTATCAAGACCATGCTTTGCCTTCTTGTTTTAGCTTTTATGCTGTAAACAAGTAACTTCCTTATAGTCTGTGTAATATCATGTTTTTCACATTTTTGTGCTTTTTTTTCTGTGGTGATGTAGCTTTTTAAAATGGCCCCAAGCGCAGTGCTGAAGGACACTCTAGCCTTCGTAAGAGCAAGAAGGCTGCAATTGTTACAGGAACTTTGTTTAGACTTGCCTTATAGGGCTGTTGTCCTTGAATTTGATGTTAATGACTCATATAGTGTATTTAAACATGACTAAAACAAGATTAGGTATTGATCAGCAGGCAAAAATGTTGTGACCAGAGGCTTGGAGGAACCTAACCCTATTGTACTGCTAGAAGCAATTTTTCTGTATTTGCTAATTTAGTGTTTGCAGAAAGTGTAGAACAGTAGCTACTGTGAGTAATGAGAGTCCACTGTGTACAATATAATTAGTTCTGTTCTGAACAGGAAACTTAAACAACCAAAATATTCTGAGGGCTGATGTTGAGAGTGTTATCTGTCTCGTAGTATCCTTCGTTTTAGAGGATAAGGTTAGTAGCACACCGAACTAGAAATGGGGAAATGTGAATTCTAGACTCAACTCTGTTTACTTGCTATGGGCCTCAGTTTAAAAAAAAAAAAGCGAAACTGCCCTGACAGGTGTCACTCAGTTGGTTAGTGGCTTCATCACCTACACCAAAAGGTCACTGGTTTGATTCCACCAAAAGGCTGCTGGTTCTTTCCCGGTCAGGGCAAATGCCCCGGGTTGCAGGCTCGATCCCTGGTAGGGAGCATGTAGGAGGCAGCTGATCAATGTTTTGCTTCCACATTGATGTTTCTCTCTCTCATTCCCTCCCCCTTCTCTCTCTCTCTGAAAATCAATAAAAAGTATAGCAAACACGGAGGGTAGGTGTTTTAGACTTAGGTCTTAGAATTTCAAAAGCATTTGGTAGAATATTTCTAGAGGAGATTTTTATTTATAGATTTTAGAGAGAGAGAAAGGAAGAGGGAGGGATAGAAACACCCATGAGAGAGAACATTGATGGGCTGCCTCCTACATGCCCCCGACTGGGGATTGGGTCAGAAACCCAAATTACAGTGAGACAAGTTGGAATGGACTTACAGTCTAATCACTTATAGACTCTAATTATTATTATAGATCCAGGCACATAAAAGAGTCTCTATATGTAATCAATTCCCATGTTCCTGTTAGAAATTCTCTTTACTGAGCCAAGTATTTGTGGTAAGGATTGTCATGATTCTTTAGGTGTGTATTTACCTAGGGAGTAAAAATACTGAAAGATCATTACTTAATGCTAATGGCATACTTCTCTACAGTCCTTTGTAATTTACAAAGTACTTTTATAGCCTGTGCCTCACCTGGTATCAAGATGATGGTAAATGGCTTGTTCAGGGTGATAGAAGTAATCAGACACAGGACTCAAGACTTAATTGAGGCTTCTTGATTCTATGGGCATTTGTTCTTTAAGCAAATCTTGGCTAAAGAAAAAAAAATCTAATTTATTAATGTTTTACGTTTTTTATACAGTTACTGTTATTTATAACATGGAGATAAAGGCAACCTTTAAAAAATCTATTAGAATTAAAATTGGGGCTTAGAACATATTTAATCTTAACTTATTATTATTATTTTTTTAATTTTAGGAAAGTGAACCCTCCTGCTGCAACCAATTATTTTAGTCCCAAGGCAAACTTTGCTTGTAAAGGCCTGGTAGTAAATATTAGGCTTTGTAGGCCATGTGGGCTCTATTGCAACTATTCAGCTTTGCTGTTTTAGTGTGAAAGCAGCCATAGATAATATAAAAATGAATGAGTGTGCCTGGGTTCCAATAAAACTTTATTTATGGACATGGAAATTTGACTTTCATATAATTTCCATGTGTTACAAAATATTCTTTTTTTTTTATTTTTCAACTATTTAAAAAGGTAAAGAACGTTTTTAGCCCAGAGGCCCTATCAAAACAGGTGGCAGGCTGGACTTGGCCTACAGGCCTTAGTTTGCCACCTCCTGGTCTAGATAGGGAAGAGGCGGGTTTAACTCTTGGCAAGGATAGTGAAGGAAGAAGAGAGATGGTCTCATAAACTTTATTTTTATTATCATTATTTTTTAATATATCTTTTTTTATTTCATTGAGAGGAAGGGAGAGGGAGAGAGATAGAAGCATTCAATGATGAGAGTCACTGACTGGCTGCCTTCCCCCATCCCCCGGGATCAAGCCCGCAACCTGGGGCACGTGCCCTGACCAGGAATTGAACTGTGATCTCCTGGATTATAGGCTGCTGCTCAACCCCTAAGCCACACTGGCCTGGCCTCGTGCACTTTAGTTGATGATTTTGTGGTTATAAATGAGATGGCTGGATCCTCTCAATAATGTCTTTATTTACATTTTCCACTCGTTTTAGTCAAAATTTGGTCACTTTGTTCCATTTTCACATCTCCTAGTTAGAAATCTTATGACTAGTGATCATGTGGTTGAAACAAATCACAGTGATACATTCAGGGTGGACAGAAAGTCGTTTTGATTTGTGCTTTAACAGTTTCCGGTGTGCATATCATGCCCAGTAGTTTTTATCCAGGTGGTGTTAAGGTCACTGGCCTGTGTTCCTCCCCCACAGCTTCTGGCCTTGAGCTAAATAGGCAACCAACATTCATGAAATTATATACTTTTTATTAATTAGTGAGGAGACAACTGGAAATCCTGTTCCTACTATCCTAATTACACTCTTATACGCTAAAAAAAATAATATTAGGTCCATGAACATACATGGTTTTACAGACTGTCATAGATGGTGGCTCTTTAGTTGGCATTCTATCATCAAATAACATCCAGAAATGGAACTTCTTAAGGCTCTTTAACCCACCATAACAAACTCCTATCCAAGGGATTTCTGAGGGCCTTCCCTCCCAACACAGTTAAACTCACGGTGCAAACAGTCTTTCTCTGAGAGCTCCTGGCACTTTGCTCTTGCAAACTGGGAGGGGCAGGGCCAACTGAAATATGCAGAACCTCATAAGTTGGATTTAAGTTTAGTCATTTCAAAGAGGCAGTTGCCTTGGTCTGCTTATGCTCACAAGCAGGCGGAGTTACTTGAACATTAATTCTAGATTGCCCCCTTCCTGTTGTTTTTAGTCTTATTTTAGCTTTCTGGTTTTACCTTTCCCAGCTTGAGTCAATAGAGGTGGGTGTAGCCCTAAGCTCTCAGGATGCTGGATTCTAAAGGTGGACTGGACTTCTGCCTTCCTTTCTCTACCCTCCCTACAGGCCTGCCCTCCTCATAGCCAATACAAACCAGTGATAGACAAGGCATGGCAGAGGGGAAACATTGCCTCGGAGGAGTTTGTTTAGGCTTCTGAGGCATGATGGTTGGGTACAAATCCAAGTATTAGCAAAATCCTATTTTCTGCAATAAAAAATTGAAACTGCTACCTAATTTTTTTCCCCCTAAAGTAAGTGAGACTATATTGGACCAAAGTGTGGAATGTAATAAATGAATGAATAAGTGAATGAATGATTTTTATTAGAAAATGGGTTCTTCTAAATGTTAAATAAAATTTAAAAAATCAGAAGTTAACCCTAAAATTGCTATACTTATGTTCAGTGAGGTGACAAGTTTGCTTTTTATAACTGCTGGATAGCCCCATATATCCCCTTAAGTCATAAATTCCAATAGTAATTTAAATTGGTGTATTCAACAACATTCTTCATGTTTATTTTATTTTCAGAAAAAAATAGCTGTTAGTAAAATTGACACATTTTTAAAACTGTTGCGATTCCTTAGCTAAATTATTTTCCACGTGTTTTTGTTGTTGTTCAAAACTGGTACATCACATCCCTACTATTTTTATGAAGCAGTTTAGAGAACTGCAAAGATAGATCCTGTTGATACGAATAAATTAATCTTGATTAAATCCATTCAGTATAGCCAGATTTGATGGCAAAATAATGGAAATTGCAGATTATACCCCAGTCTCTGCCAATCATGTCGTTTATTGTTTGGATGGGCTGTGAAACTGGTGCATTTTATCACATGTCCACACTGATCGCTTGCTATCTATTTGGACCATGCTGCATTTCCCAGAAAAGAGTACTTTACTAGCATCATTCAGGGATAGAGAGGCGGCAGCACTTTTCCTACTTCTGATTTCCTTTGATCATGTGGAAGAAGCTCCATCCGCAAAGATAGTGGCCTTTCCCAGCTGTCTCACCCTTCCTCTCTAAGACAAGTGATTGAGGGTGGAAGAAGTCAGGGGCAGCCCAGCTTCTCCTTTCTTTTTCCTGGCAGTGGGATATTGCCAAGGAGCAGGCATCTGTCATACCTTTTACATGAGCATGCACTGGATCTGCAGGAGGAGGCTGCGCCCCTTCGATGCTATTGCCTATAATAGATAGCTGGTGTACTGGGGAGCATCATTACGAAGCCTGCCATTCCACAGGCATCAGGCCTATTCTCTATACCAGCTTTATGGGTATACAGGTGATATTTTGGTTTCTCATCTCCCTTACTCTTTTTTTCCCCAATTGGTTCAGAAATCAGACTGCAAGAAAAGTACTGTTTATGACCCTGTCCACTTGGGCCTCCCCTTGGGCCTCATGGCAAATTGGGACAAGCTGGCCACCTACCTATAAGATACCTAAAACATCACTTCAGCTGTTCTATCCAGCAGTGTCAATAACTCAAATATCGAACTTGATGGAAAACAAGCTCTTTGTATTGGCCATGGTATAACAAACTGTCATCACTATGATGTTTGCTTATTGAGGCCTTGTGACAATAAGGCTGAAGACGTATATGCTAAATTTTGGCAGTATGAATCATACTTATAGTTCTTTATTTCCTTTAATTCGTTTTCTCCTTTCTTCTTTGCAGGTCTGTGATTCAGACACCATGCTTGATCCAGCCTCATCTGTGGAGATGGTAAAAGTTTTAGAAGAAGACCCCATGGTTGGAGGTGTCGGGGGAGATGTCCAGGTGTGTAGCATGGCTTCACTCTTGCCTCAGTCACTTTAGTAGCACTCTGACTCATTGATTCACCGAATGTACGTTTACTACACACCAAATGTTGTGCGAGGTATTACACATAGAATGTGTCTTGAAACCAGGATACTGCCTCTTTTGTACAAGTGAAAAAATTTAGGTGTTCTTTGATTAATCTTGGGGTATAATCCATGTCTGTAGTGGTTGATAAATTATGTTCTTGAGCCATAACTTAATGTTCTGGTGTAATCTGTTTTGGAGTTCACTTACTTGCAAATAAACTAAAGTATGGCAGGAGATGGATTCTCTATTATATACCTATGTCTTTAGAAGCTGACCAATATGTGATTGATCAAAAAATCCAAATTGGAAAACAAAGAAAAGAGAAACAGCAACTCAAATTTATACCAGTGAGAAAGACAAAGGAGCAGTTAATTAATAAGTAGGTTTTCCAATTACTTATTTTTTACTAATTATTATTTATCTAACATTATTTGCTAGCCGTGGAGAAACCATTAGTGAAACAAATATTGGAATGGGAAAATGAATATGCGAAAGTCTGGGGAAGTTAAAACGAGTTCTTTGGAAATGTGAGATTAGATTTTAGCAAAATGTGAAAAGCACATTGAATTTTTAAAGTTTAGGCATTGTGTTACTGTATAACTCATTTTGTATATTTGTGGTGGTAGTGAAGGTAATGAAAATGTGCTACAATGGACAAAAAATAACCTGGTGGTAAAAAGGAAGCATGTGAAATCTAGATGAACACAGAACAAAATTGAGAAGCAGAGGATTCAGAAATATTGCCAAGAAAAAGCTGATAATTTTGAATGGCCTTTACATAGAGCATTATTTCAGGATTCAGATTTTGGAGGGAGGCCAAAGCAAACCCTTTTATCACTGGCATTGCAAAATAGTAAGGAAGAGGAGGAAAATTTATAGCCAAAGATTAGATGAGTTGGAAATTAACCAGAACAGGAGGCAATAGGGCTTTAAAAACCTTCAAATCATAGATGGCAGGAAAGAGTATCTGGAAGAAGAAATTAGGGACTAAGAACTAACGCCTTAAAAAAAAAAATCTCACTATGAGAACAGAACAAGAACAAAAAGCATAGGAAAAAGAGGACAGGGTGAAGTAGGGAAAAAAAAATTATCATCACAAAGTCCTCATGCATGCACACAACTTACCAAATTAACCTCGTAATACAGAAGCAGAGCTAATAAAATATAATCATGTCAAAAAGAGGAAGGAAGCCAACATAGGATGCCAAAATAACACACCTTACTCTACCTGGTAACCTCAGGATGTACGGATTCTGTTGGCATTTTTAAGTAAGGCTTACCTTTTACTCTTTTCTTTTCTGCAGATTTTAAACAAGTATGATTCCTGGATCTCCTTCCTCAGCAGTGTGAGATACTGGATGGCTTTTAACATAGAGAGGGCCTGCCAGTCTTACTTTGGGTGTGTCCAGTGCATCAGTGGACCTCTGGGGATGTACAGAAACTCACTGCTACACGAATTTGTGGAAGACTGGTACAATCAAGAGTTCATGGGCAGCCAGTGCAGTTTTGGTGATGACCGGCACCTAACGAACCGAGTGCTGAGCCTGGGCTATGCAACAAAATACACGGCTCGATCCAAGTGCCTTACAGAAACGCCTGTCGAGTATCTCAGGTGGTTAAACCAGCAGACCCGCTGGAGCAAGTCCTACTTCCGAGAGTGGCTGTACAATGCCATGTGGTTTCATAAACATCATTTGTGGATGACCTACGAAGCGGTTATCACTGGATTCTTCCCTTTCTTTCTCATTGCCACAGTAATCCAGCTCTTCTACCGGGGTAAAATTTGGAACATCCTGCTCTTCTTGTTAACTGTGCAGTTAGTAGGTCTCATAAAGTCATCCTTTGCCAGCTGCCTTAGAGGAAATATCGTCATGGTCTTCATGTCCCTCTACTCGGTGTTGTACATGTCAAGTTTACTCCCCGCCAAGATGTTTGCGATTGCAACGATAAACAAAGCTGGGTGGGGCACCTCTGGAAGGAAAACCATTGTTGTTAATTTCATAGGACTCATTCCAGTCTCGGTTTGGTTTACAATCCTCCTGGGTGGTGTGATTTTCACCATTTATAAGGAATCTAAAAAGCCATTCTCAGAATCCAAACAGACAGTTCTAATTGTTGGAACGTTGCTCTATGTATGCTATTGGGTTATGCTTTTGACTCTGTATGTGGTTCTCATCAGTAAGTGTGGCAGGCGGAAGAAGGGACAACAATATGACATGGTGCTTGACGTATGATCCTACATTGTTTGACGTCCGCAGTCACACGCGCAGGCACGGACAAAACCTGAGCTCCCGTAGGGACCGTACAGTATTGTGGCGTCGGATAGTGCCACCACAGGAGACATATCACTGCTGCTGGGACTTGAACAAAGACATTTCTATGGGTTTATTTTGATCCTGCCAAAGTAAAAACGATGCATCAACAAGAAGAAACTCAGATGTAACCTGTTATTTCTATGAAAATGGGAAGAAATCTTTGTTTATGCACTTTTTCCTTACTGTACATCTGCCTAACAGTGTTTTGCCCTATATACCTCACTAGCCATGCTTTATGTGGGTTATCATGGAAGAAAAGGATTTTGGAAACTCAAGGAAAAGTTCTTACAACATATAGAACCTAACTTATGGACTGTGTTGGATAGCTAATTTTTTTTTTAGAAAGGTTTTCTGTTTAATTCTACCAAATGAAATGCCAAAGGAAATTTTAAAGGCTGTTGGCTGTGCTGTATTTTTATATAATTGTACTGTGTTTTAAAATTTTGTATGCCAATTTTTAGAACAAATTTTGCATATTCTATATTTTACTTCTCTGCCAAAATACACCTGTTCTTCCTTTTTTTAAAAAAAATAAAATAGGTTCTGAAAAAAATTCAAACTTAGAAAACCTACTCAAAATGTGAAGCTTGGTTGACTGATGTTGTTCACGATAGAAAGAATAAAATGTTTCTCTCTTTACCTTTTCAAATTGAATAGTTTATTTCTGTGAAAAAGTATTTAAACATCCAATATTTTAGCTTTTTAAAATTTCTTTTAGGAAAGGCCAATATACCTGTCACACTTTGGGAGTAAAAATACATACTTGTGTGTGAAAGAAAAAGTAAATAATTGAAAATCAAGGCCAAAGGGGTAGAAAAGTGCAATTTTTTCATAAGATTAAAAAAAGGGAATGCTAGTCCTCAAAAGAAAACACTGGGCAGCCAGCACTGGACATAACATGCATATCACAGGCAGTGTTTTCCCAGGCTGAGTAATATGGAAAGTGGAAAAAATTATCTGTATAATTTGGACAAACACAATACAGTTCATTTTGTTCTGTGGTCTGAATCACCACATCCTGTCTGTATATTGAACATACTTTACTTACAGCTTGCCAGTTCCCTTTACATGCTACTATGAGGTTTCCATGATTTAGTTGGATAAATTACAATAAATGTAAAGCATACAGATTCAAAATGGCAAGTTCAAGCTCCAATTATCAGCCTCTTTTACTTTCTAGTGAGGCTTTTATTCTGAATTATACAGATAATTTCTTCATTTTTTCTGTTGGCCAACATAAATATGTTTACATAGTAGAAATGATATCAAGGTTTAATAAGTGTATTAAGAATTGGCACATAAAGTTAATGAACCAGGTACCTGTAGTCTAGCTAATTTTGCTTCTCCAGAGCCTTGGTTATCCAGTTTGACTTTTGACATGACCCATCTTGCTTTGTAGCTGGTGCTGTGTAGACCTGTGTTAAAAACACAACTGAACCCACGAACAGTTGCATAGAAAATATTGTGATGAAGCAGAGTCATGGGAGAAATGTTAGGTCATGTGCTTCCTGCCTTTCTGCTTCTTCTTCATGCAGACGTCTATGTTCCATCTCTTCTAAGAAAAAGATGCACATTCTACCTTCGGAAGACAACAAGGTACATGACATTCTGCCACTCCAACTCTCACTAATAGGAGAGCTTGTGGGAAACAAACACCATGCCGATAAATGAGACTAAAACTTGAGTTTGCCTTTTTAACTATTTATGTTCTAAGTTAAGCTTTGATAACATTCAAATGTCAAATTCTCTCATTCTTATAGAAGATTGAATTAATTGCCTGTATTTATTTTAGCAATTATTCAATGTATTTCCAGTATAGGATGTATAGTATAATTAATTTTTTTGTAAATAAAATATTTTTGATAAGATTATTGTGTTTTATTCTAAGGGAAGGGGGAATTTCAAACACAACATTGCCTGATTGTAATGGTATGGATATAAGAATGGGTTATATAGGAAAACTCGAACAAATGTGGTGGGTCAAAGATAATAGAAGTAATTTAATTTTACTACCCATAAGGTAGAAATTCCCCAAATAGGTGTGGTTCTGAAATCTAGAACATGAATAAGACTGGCACACCCCTTATCCCTATTCCTATACGTCCCTGTAATCTGTACTCTCGGCCACGCAGTCTTGTGTTATGACTATTGGACACGGTATCCTGGGAGACAAAAAGGTTTTTTAGCCTGTGGCTATGCTTTCATCATTTTTTAAATTCTCTGTGGTGACTAGCTCAATCAGGTGCTGAAAATTTGGTGAGTAAGCAAAAGACTACACAAAAGAACCAGGAAGGAAAATAGACTCAAGTAGTGACTCTTTTCTTAGGAACGTTTATGGCATTTTTGGAGCTTTGCTATAGGAAATGCTTTTCGTTGGAAGAAAGAACTGTTAGCATAGTGTTTGCTATGTCATTGCTTCAGGATATGGAAAGATTGTCCATGATATAAACTACTTCTATCCTTATGCATGTTTAAGAAACATTGAGCAAATCAGGTTCTTTGCTGCAGAAATTCTCAGAAACCTTCAATGTTCTGATGGGCTTTATGAATCTGCAAGAGGCTCATTACATATAGAAATCCACACGTTTTGATGACTATGGTACCCTTTCCAGAGGGAGGTTGGTTAACATTGGGATTAACATCACCATCCTGCAGTGCATAGTTTAGGTAATGCTGGTATATAATACCTGATGCCACAGATGGAATTTGTTTTCACTCAAGATTTAGAAGCAACACTCAGCTAATTAACCTCCTTAAATAGAGTAATCGGCCTCAGGTGTGGAGACCTCAGGGCAAAAGGGAGGAGCCTCCATTTGGCTCAGCCTCTGAGCTACGGAAACAGGTTCTTCTCAAAAGAGTTCAACTTACCCATTTGCTATCAGAAAGTCTCTACACTGGAGCTTAGGAAAACATAAGTGACATGTTTTAGCTCTGCTGTTCAGGGCTACAAGGAGTTTAACCCTGATATGTTGGGGAAATGGACAATGAGTGGGTAAGCCTAATCTTTGAAACAACTTCGGCAATGTTATGATAGTACTTACTGAAAAGAAGCACAATTGCTTTATAAACTAAAGGAAAGGTTATTTTATTGTCTATTTTGGACTAAGTTGATTGTTGAGTCACAAAATCAAATGCTATCGTTTTTGTAATCAGGTCAGGATAGAATCACAGTATACATGTTCACTCTCAGAACACAGGCATGAGTATGTCATAGAAGTTACATATCCCCACCTCTCCAGATAATATATGAGGTACTTATTCAATTAAAAAAATAGATGAAAGTTTTAAGGGAATAAAAATCCTGGAAGAAGGATCTTTGAGAATCAAAGTTGAATACCCATTTTCATGAAGCTATTAGAATCATAGCAAAAAAGAAAACAATTCATTTAGATGAATTAAAATGCCTCGAATCTTTGTTGGAATGAGGCAAGTTATAAAACAAGAGAGGGAGAGAAGAGAAAGTTCAGGTTCCTTATCTCAAAGGAATAAACTACAATCTAACTGATTTTAGCACCTTGCTCAAGGCTTCACAGCTGACTACAAACCCCGAGGTCTCTTCTACCCAGGTGTTTTGGGCTTGCTATTTTTAAATCTCCATTTCCTAGTTTAAAGATGAAGAGTAAAGTATTGCACTTTATTAGTCAACAAAAGAATAATGTAGCCAACACTAACATACAGGTACACAATTTAATATTTGTTATATGCATTTTTTATACATTATTTTTCAACAGTTGTACATTTGCTATGTGGTACAATCTTAAAAATTTGCTGACTCATGGTTTGTAAAACAAAAGCCTTACAAAACTCATCCAAGCTCACAACCTGATCAGAAAAGTTTTTTGGAAGACTAGAAAACAATATTTTGTCTTAATAATGCATTACACAAACAAAATCTTTAGTTACACCAAAAAATTAAGCACATCTGAAAAAATAAAACAGGGATAAGTAGTCCAAACACAACAAATTTCTATAGCCTGATTCAACTATTTTTGAATCCCATTTATAATGCAGAAACCTCAAATTTGCAATTTCTGGGTAACTACTCTTAAACCTGACATTGAGACTATGTGCAAATCTATTCCCCCTCAAAAGGAATTGTAAATTATAAGCTCTCAAGCTTATAGGTCTTTGATATTTAGATTTTAAATAAAAAGCCACCGTGGGTAGTCTACCACAGTACCTGAAGTTGTCAGCACCATGAAGAAATATTATACCATATCAAAAATGGAGTTTCTGAAGTTCTTGCCCTAAAACAAATTATTGCCATATTACCCCACTTTGGATGTTCACAAGGCCAGAACAAGTTTGGAGCTCTGACTCACTGTGAATTGGGGTTTAGTTGCAGAATGACTTGTATTCAAACACTGGCTCCTCTACTTAGCTGTGAAAACTTGAGAGAATTACTCTTCTTTGAGCCTTATTTTTCTCATCTGAAGAACAATGAGAATGACAGTCACCTCTCAGAGTTATTGTGTAATCAAGAGAGCATGAGAGTGCCTTGGAAAAATGCATGCGACATAAGAGGAGATTAATAAAATTTTCTTTTTTCTCTCCTTTCTAAACAACAGGCTTCCTTAGTGTTCCTTTCTCCTTTTGTTCTTTCCTTCTTTTTTTTTTTTTTTTTTTACTCAACAAATCACTGGACCAAGGGCTGGGATACAACTCAAATGCCAAGGAATTTTACTTCTTAAAGATACATTTTAATCCACCCATTTGTTGACTTCTACGTGACCTTAAGATTTTCTCTAAGAATAGGTGGCTTTCTTCTCCTTTAGACATAAAGCAGGTGAACTTTTATAATTATCTAGTATGTTTTGGCTTCAGTTTTGTGCCTGACAAAATAAGTGCTTTGGAATATCTAAAATGAGGTAGATGGGCCAATAGGAAGAACATGGCTTTGTCATCAGATGGATTTGAGTCCTGGCTGACTCAACCGTACCTGGTTGACTCTTAGTAGACACCCCAATCTTTTCATTTGTGAAAGTATAAAGAACTCCCCTGCTACAATTAAGAAAGCATCTCCATGAGAGTGATACTACCTGGCCAGAGACAAATTTAAAAATGCCATAGGTATTACCTACCTATCTTTCCTTTCCATACTCAAGTCATTTCTTTTATAGACCAGATATGGGCAATCTACAGAACTAGGACTGGTTGAGAATCTGTGTATCGACATTGAAATATTTCTTCAGAGCTCATCGAACCCAGCTGAACTTCTGGAGTCAGATAAATGAGACCTTACAGCTAGAGCCTCATCCTCTCTTTTCGTCTGCCACTGGGAATGACAACATAAGGATCATTTATTTATTTATTTTTTACCCTAAACCCACTGATAAAATTCTTTTTTTTCTTGTTTAAACTAAGTTGATGTGTGAATGATACAGCATATGGAGGCTTAAGTTTAGAGTAAAAATTAGTAGATAATCACTTTAACTCAGCTAGTTCCTATCCATGTACTTGATTAATTTATTTAAGTTTCACTACACTGGCCACACCATCCTGTGCAGGGCCCAGGGAAAATAATGACCTCCTCTGGAAAGCCTTTGCAGCAGTCACTAAATAAAAGTCAGTGACTCTCTCCTTTAGTTCCAAATGACACTTGTATTTTCCAGTAATAATGCCCTTAATGTACTATATTTAATTATTTAAAAGTTTCTTTTTCTCTAATAGGCTGTGATCTGCACCAGGAGGAAGACTACATGTTACTCATCTTTGTGAACATATCTTACCAACATGGAATGTTTATTGACACCTAAGGACTACGTATTTGTTTATAAGTGAATAAATAATTGATCTTCTTATTTATTATAACTTAGCAAAAAAACCAACCAAACAAAAAAACAAAGCCCATAGGTCAATAACAAGTAAATATTGGTTGAGTGCTTACCAAATGAGACGCAGTTTTAAATACAAGATTTTATTTAACACTAAGCAAGCCTATAAATTAAGAATTAATAGCCCCATTTTATAGATGAGGAAACTGGGACTCAGAAGTATAAGGAGTTTTTCTAAAATTCATTAACACAATTAAGCAGAATTCAAAACGTATTTATTCTTTCCAGTCTCTCATAACCTCCTTATAATTGTTTTATTCTATAAATTCTAATGGAATTATGTTAAATCATATATCAATAAATGCATTTTTGCAGGGTGTTAAAATAACAGAGTCCTTTTATGTTACTCTGGGGATCATGCCACAACCAGGAAGCAAATTGCTCTCCTCCTGAAATGGCCCCAGTCACAGTGCCCTCTCCCCACAAAGCTTAAACATCATCCAACCAGCCAAAGGAAAAATATTTGAAGGTCCTGGGTTCACACTCACAAAAGCAGGAAGACGTGTGAATTTGAAGCTAATAGCCAATAAATCAGTAGCTAGTACGGTATGTTATTCAGGTCCAGTTCCGAGCACACCAATATTTAGTGTTGATACTGCTTAAAACTAACATTAAAAGATAGGAAA